GTTGTTGTTAACTTGTCTAACTAATCTTAATGAACTGAAGTCTATGGAATAGTTTTGTTGCAAAATATGATGGGCGACTGCTGATTTTTCAGGTCTTCCATATTTTAAGTGTGCTATGTGTTCCTTATATCTTACTTCAATAGATCTTTTTGTCTGTCCATAATTCCTGTCAAGGAATTAGGTATGAAGGTGGTTTTCAAAACAAGTCATACACTACAGAGCCTTTTGGGAAGTCCAAAAGACAAAGTCAAGAATTCGGAAAAGTCTGGAATTTACGAAATTGAATGTAAGGACTGCGATGCAAAATATTATTTTGGAAATAACAGAAATGGTCGAAACAAATCTGATTTTCTCAAGAAAAATTACTTTTATTATTTCTTATATTTCGTCATATTAAAAACTCAACATAGGAAGGTCTCAGTAATTCCTTGCATATCGTGACTACACTGATTGTATCGCTATTATATTATTATATTATGAGATTTCACGAATCAAAATTTAAAATTGCATTTCACACACTTTTTTTATGGTCTCAAAATATTTCAATATACTACTAGCCTATATTCTACCCCACATTCAAATTATATTATGAAACTCAGGGAAAAAAGTCAAAACGACAGTTTGAGTAATCTGTTGATCCACCCTTTTCTATTCTGCCGCTGAGCCGATCTTAATGAGATAGGGGTTTGGTTTACGGCTTTCAATCTATCCTGGGAACTCCTTCAGAACAGATGATAGAGAATCGTGTAAAATACAGGGTGGTTGCTTTTTGATACTTTGATAATGACAGTTTCGTACTTTTTTCAAAAATTTCGTCCGTTTTAATGTCATGTGTATTTGTAGCTCCATATCCCAATCAATGTTTATTCCACTATTTCTGGTACATATTTATTCATATGAATCAATGTCTTTTTTTCAATCGGATCGTCATGTGTGATGAAAAGTGGATCCTCTACGACAACAGGAGACGTTGAGGATATTGGTTGGACACCGATGAGTCACCCAGGCACTTCCCAAAGGCGAAATCCCAGCAAAAAAGAACATAGTTACTGAGTGATGGTCAGCGGCTAGTATCACTATAACTTTATTCAACAAAGACGAACTATCATAGCGGAGAAAATCGACGAAATGTACCTCTACAGAAGAGGTCTGATACTGCTTCATGATAACACCCGTTCGCTACCATGTTTTGTCAATAAAAATATCCACGAACATTCAAGCGGCGTTGGAAGCTCTTGGATCCTATCGAGCAACGTCTAAATTGGTAGCAAATTGCCAAAAATGACTCTCCCCAATTGAAAGACTCAACAAATTCTCTGAAAAAGAGAACGAATCTACCTATAGAAGTAATTATGGAACTACTAGCATGCTGTGTACGAAACTGTTACTTCCAACTAAAAGATGGATTTTTTACACAAGATGAGGGACTGCCAATGGGATAGCCACTTTCACCAGTCATAGCTTACATATATATGGAGTCATTTGAAACTCTGGCCATTGAAAAAGTCCACAAGAAATCTCGAGTCTGGTTGAGATATGTTGGCGACACCTTCATAAT